AATGTCCTCCTTTCTCTTCCATTCGGTATCATTCCCAAATTTCCTTAGCAAAAATTCCAGCATAATTTTCTATTATTAAGATGAATATTTACGAATATGCTAATAACCTACTTCATAATAAACTCTTTTTTCGAAGAGATATTCAATTAATACGTTGTAGTTTCATTAAATTATATTAAGTAATCTTCATTAAGTTACTGAATATTTTATTACATACAGTACATAATCTATCGAGTATATTGAAAAATATTCTAATTATAGCCTGATTTTGTTTTAAAATATAAATTTAATTTTACATAAACTTATTTTTCTCAAATTTTCATACCAGACAAAGCGTTTATTACTCAATTATTTAATTTAAATTTCTAAAAAGAAATAACTTCGACCACTAATTTATTAAAAAAAATTGTTTTCTAAATCATAATTAAATTTTAAAATCAATAACAATTAAAATTTCCTTAAAACATAAATTTAATCAATAATAATGTTTAATAATTCATTTGCATATTTATGATTACATAAGAATAATTGTTTTAAAAAATATATGTTTTATGTACGAAAAATACGGAAACACGTCCTAAATTTACATATATAAAATGTTAATTATTCGATAAATTAAATATTAAATCCTTATTTTTACATAGATTATATCAATTCTTGCCTTATCAGTTATGCTTGTTTAAGGTGAGAAAAAAATAGAAGAAACTATTAGAAGAATTTTGGATGAAATTTTTTCAAGAATTCAGATATTAAATATATAAAATTTGCTTTAAAAAGTATTGCTTAACGCTCTCCACAGAAGCAAGAAGATAATTACTGTTCAGTTTTCTGCATTTCATTAATATTAAAATTGCTTATGTAAGAAAAATATGTGAATTACTTATAAGGAATTTTAACTAATCCACATATTTTTGTTGCATAATTGTACTTTACGATTACTTAATTTATGTACGTTTTGGGGTTACAAACTTAAATTAACATAAGAGAAATTATTAATTATTGTAAAAATTATCATTAGCATAATGGAAAATTAATTATCAATATTATTATTTTTTCAATTTGTAAGGAATATAATCAGCAAAATCTAAGTATAATGTATAATGATATTAATAAGAAAATACTTAAAGTTATGTCTATTATAAACTAGCTTTTAAAATTAATTTTTGTATTATATATTCATTTTTGCATGAATATGGACATTGCATGCAGGATTTTATCGAGATATGAATTTAACAAAATGGTTCCCTATAATGTTTTACAATGCAAATTCGATTATTCAAACGTCCATTGTATTAAATAGGCACGCACTATATATTTTATTTACAATACATTCTTTATAAATAAGAAGTATATACACAGATTTATATGAAAAAAAAATTTGATTTAGACGTACAGGATCGAATTAAAACTACGTGTTTATGAAAAATCTATAATATTTAGGAATGTAAACACTGTAATGTTTATTTTTATCTTTAAAATCCTAATACTAAAAGCCTTTCTGATTATTTTTTTCTTCTTTGACATGTGTTTAAATTGGATAGTATGATGTTTAATTCACAACAAAGAAAATTTAAAACAGGCTCCTTTGACCAGAATTGAAGGTGTAAATAATGTAAGTAGAGCAAATTGTGTTTTTGAATGAATAGAAATCAAGCAAATAGAATTGGTTAAATTTATTCGAGGATGAGATGTATTAGAATGGGCTTAAACTGCCGAAAAGCAAGGGCTTATCGGAGATGTCCTTCTTGCAGACTAAATTTCCTCTTCTCTATCATTTCAGCGACTTAATTGAATACGTGATGACATATGGTATCGAGGGTATACCCTATTAGGCTCGCTATCAGAATGTTACTAATGTCTCTCCAAATAATTCTGGTCAGTTTCATTAAGGCTAAATGATTTGTTTGGAAGTTTTTGTGGGGGGGGACATTATATCGAGATCGACAAACCCGGTTACTAAAATGTCTCTTAACAAATGGAGACTTCGTTAGGCTAATTGAATTTGAATATTTTTGATTTTGCAAGGCTACAACATTCCTTTATTTCTAATGAAGTGAAGGATCTTGTGTGAGAGAAATCGTTGGATAAGAGATTTTTTTTCTTTATCTGTATGAAGCGGTTTTTTTTATTAAAAAATTCTTAATGATTTTTGTAAATTTTATGACCATTAAATGCGGCGTATTTAAAGCACAGTAGGACAGTTATTAAAAGAAATGATCTTCTAAGTGGCTCTTGGAAGGACATTAATTTGTCAGGTGTATTTTCTATCCTTTACTTCTTTGGAGAAAATGATTTCAAAAACCGAATATTTTACAAATATTAAATTAAAATTGTAATATTTACGTTTCAACAATTATATTTTATTATATTTATAAGCTGAATATGTCTACTTTAAGTCGCGACAAATTGAAATAAATTGAATTTATTATTATACATTAAAATGCATTTGGATATATAAATTAATATTCTACAACATTTCTTCGTTAATATGCGACTAAAAATGACTTTTCAACGTCGAAAAACCTTTTACTACTTCCTGTAAGAAAATTACTAATTCGATAACTTCACAATTTTCTATTTCCAGACCAATATATTTATTAAATTAGCACACAAAAGTAAATGCACTACTAGATATATAGAAATGTAATTCAATAAAAAGAATGGATATTGTCTAGAGTATAATTTAAAATATTTATTTTATTAATATCAAAATAAAAAAAAGAGAGAACAGTACAGTGCATTGAATTTCTTATCTCTGAAAGTATCTTTCACACATGGCTTTGGTAAATCATTAGGCAAAATAAAGCTCGTGCTTAGGGCATCAAATAAAGGGGGAACCACAAAAATTTTTTCTATGTCCATGCAGTGCGAACTGTGAATGGTGCATATGAACCAGGATCTTTTTGTGGATTTTACGTTCAGATGCATCATTTATTGTGGTACCCGCCCAAAAAATAGTGCAGCTGAACAAGGCCCCAACAATAAATGCAAAAGTTAAAATATTTTCAAGTATATGGGGGCACCAAATTTAATTGCTTAGGACCTCTAAAATTCTTAATTCGGTCAAGCTTTTACAACATAATAGTACATAAGAATTATTTTTAAAATAAGCAAACAAGATTAGAATATTAAACAATAATAAATTTTCTAAATGGAGAGAGATTTGAAAAAAAAATTCTTGTAAAATTAAAAATGGTGTAAAATAATGATAATTAAATTTAATTTTACAATTAAATAAACAAAATTACTATAATAAGGGATGTTCTCATTAGTATATTATTCATTTCCTTATCTTAATTTCATGATAAAATATCATAAGCATAAAATATAGGAAAGAAAATCGAACAAATATGAGAAATCTTATTGCTAAATTCAATCCACATCACTTGTATTGTATCGTATAAAATTCTAATTAATTGAATTCTTTTTATAAATTTTATAGCAACTTCATATATAACTATTAAATAGATTATTCAAACGTAATTAGAAAAATTAAATAGTTTAAAGACAATTTACATCATTAAATTTTTATATTATTAATGAGTTTACTGATACTTATTATTAATAAAAATTTTTCTTATTGATTTAACTTAAAATCTTTTGTGAAGGAAGTTAAATCTTATGTAAAGAAAAATATATATAGTTTTAATTGATTAATTTCCTTAAAATAAATTCGGTTCGAGTGTTAATTAAATATATCAAATGGTCAGAAAGAAATACAATACAATTTATTGAATGAGGTCATATTGGTAAATCCTCTGTATATACTATAAGAAGCTTATTCCCTTTCAAAAAGCATTACATTATTTTTTGTCTTTAATGAAATATGACATTTAAGAAATTTAATTTAAGCTGTTCTGAAAGCTTAAACAGGGGAGGAGGATTTTTTTTTCTATTATAAAAAAATCACTCATCATTATATAAATATTCACCATTATTATTATTAAATAATTGAGAAGAGATTGTATTATTTATATAACAGTTTAAAACTTTTTATCGAAGGTGTATAATATATAGATTTAGGTCAAATGGTCTGTTGCTTCTTTCACCTGTTTGTAAAATGAAACAGGTACAGCACTTTCATCTGATAATATAATTACTTCTATATTAAGTTCAGCTTCCTCAGAAGTAAATATAAACAAAATGAGACGAGGTAAATAAATAAATATATATTATAAATATTTAATGCCTGTAAAAATTATTTATAAAGTATTTTGTAGGTGGTTATAAACAAACAAAATAATGTTATTTAGAACGTGAAATAACCTAATTGATTTGTTTTGTTTAGTACAGCTGCAATGTTTCAACATGTTAAAACGAATTAAAAACCATCAGATTTGAAATATAAATGCGATAAATATACAAATTATACATTAATATAAAAGATTATTTTGTAACAGATTTTATATTTAAATATTTATAATTTAATTGTACGTAACAAATGCAGTAGTTAAATTATTTCGTACAGTTGTGTTGTTTATTTTTGTAAAAATAAATAACGTATAAAATAATATAAACTGAGATATATTTATTCTTTTCTATGATGTAAATTTGTAGATTATTTTTGTTTTCTTAAATAATATAAAATGTATTATTTTTAGACGAAATTTTAACATAAATTCTATTGTCAAACAATAAAAAAATTTGTAAATTAAATAAATCGAGACGTATATTATAGAAATTTAAATGAATTCTTATTAAATCATAAGGGAAAAGTGTTTGGGTAGGACATATTTAATTTATTCAAGATTCCACTACAACTCGAATCTTCGCCTTGTGATGCGAATTGATATTAAATTTAACAATTTTTCTATCGGATAAAGGAATTTACTTTGCCAAATTTTTAAGGTTAAAGGGGAAGAAGCGATCATTTTATTGACAGTGTTTACGATAAGCGGTCCTGCATTAAAGTTAAACGAAAGTGGTTTCGACTGCCTAATCATCCTGTCATTTTTACATTAAGGGAATTGTTAAATTGTAAACTTTATAAAACTACTTACCTACTTTGCACAGCATGGTTAACGGAGACAGAAAGGAACAGTTGCTACTCTCCAGGATAGTAACTGGTGGCTGCGTGTCTGCTGTACTGAGCCTGTGCTCACACTGGTTGGTACCAACTGGCAATTGTAGGTGAGGTAGAAAGCAGCGGAGGGGAAGCTCAGATTCTGTATAATGCACGTTATACTGTTGAATGTACAGTTATTGCACTAAAAAAATGTTACATATTGAATAAAAACAATTACTATTTATAATATTAGTATAAAACATTCGCATATATAAAAAAGAATAATCAAAAAGACGTAGTAAACATCACACTTAATATGTATATTATGATAAAAATTAATTATATTAATTTATACAAAAAAGAATTAAGTAAAAATCTAAAGTCTAAGCTTACACATAATTATATATACGTGTAGATAGGCTCGTGTTTGTATATTTATTTATTGAAAAAAAAATTGGTAAAAATGCACTCATAGTCATACCTATTGATTTTAATTCAAGCACAACCAATATTAAACGTTTCTCCTTTAATGCGTGCAAATAAAATCGATTTAAAAGAAACGGAAAAGAATGATAATTTGGCTGCAGTTTTCAAATCGTAATCCTGGTGTTATTAAAAATGTCTTCTTCAAGAAACTATAAAAAAATCTGTATATTTAGAAAGGAGGGAGGGGAAAAAATGAGGAGAAATCAATGCGCTTTTTCGTCAGTTTAGATGTTGTTTACTTTAAAAAAATCTGGAAAAAATTCTGGGAAATATATGATTTTATACAAATGTTAAATTATTATAAAAGTGCATGATATACAGTACATATATGACTTATGAGAAAGTCTGCATTCACCTCTATACAATGCTCATATTATATGTTATATAAGTTATATATATTTTTAAAATATATATACAAAATAATATTTGACGTATTTCTGTAGTGTTATTTTAAAAAATAAGTAAAAAATTTTAAATAAAATATATATTTACAAAGCTATATGAGGCAGATTTATATCTACGTATATTTCATAGTAATTATTAATTCTTAAATATTTCTAAAAATTAACGAATAATTTATTATAACGACGATGGAAACATCTGAAAAATAATCGTATTATATAATTATTTTTTTTAGATTATTAAGTTTTAATGTAGTTTGAAAATTAACAGTGTTATGAAGATTTTAAGAAGATTAGAATTGAAGGAGATGGAATCAAATTTCAACAATAATTTATGCAAAGAATTTATGAGGAAAATTTGCACTATAAATGGGATTGATGCTTAAAGAGCATCGACCTTTTCTTTTCAATTTGCAGCTTGTATATCATCAGATATCAGCCCTGTCATAAAAAATGCTGTAGAGATTTAAAAGAAGATAAATGTATGTGTAAAAATATTTTTGCTTGCAAAATTGTATATTTTTTATAAAAATATATGGAGGTTTGGGTTTACGGGAATATATTTATATATAAAAAATAACTGTGATGTGTTTTTATCAATTTTATTCATAATAAATTTTGTTCCGAGATTATAAATTCATTTTTTTCCTTCTGTTTTCACCAGGCCTCAACTTTTAAATTTATCATAAAATAGCCTTCTGTATCTTTAAATAAACAGCTGTATTAATAAACTAATATTCTGTGTATAAACTTGATAAACGAAGTTGTAAGTTGGAGTTTAATAGAGTTTATGTAAGCGGGTGAAACGTTTTAATACATTTTTCAAGATTATTTTCATGTGTTCAAATGAAAATGTTATTGTGAATTTAAACTTTAAACCCTAAGGATAGAGAAAAATAATAGAAAAAACGGAATCAACATTGATGTTGCTTTGGCATTTCTCATAATGCAGTCTGCTTTGTACAGGAATTTATTGTATGGATATAAACATGCTCAGAAAATATTAACGAGAGCAATATTATATGAATAAACATTTTAATTTCTGTTAAGGGAATTATTAATAAATTACAATGTATATATTATAAATATTGATCGTAATATATATTACTTATTTATTTAAATACGTGTATAAACAACAGAAACTTTGAATAATTATTTATTATAATAAATAATTAAACGTGCTTTGTTAATTATACATTTACAGACTTATAAACAATTACTATTTACACATAAACACTAACCTACACTACTTACAAATGATTAACTTTAATCACTTATTTCTTTTAATGTATTTAAATATATTCGAATTGTTTAAATTTAAAAAACTAATTTATACCTTTTTTAATTTTTATTAAAATTTGTAATTTGTTTCTTAAGATTAAGTCATTTATTAATAATATATTAATATCCGAAATGTTTAAAGAAGTGTCAGAAATAAATTAGAGTTAAGCTGTGTTAAAATATATGAGAAATGAGATAGGGGAAGAAAGCTGCAGATAAATGATAGTAATTAATTAAACGACATTCCTCGTTATAATTTAAAATAAAAAAAATAATAATAAATAAGTTAAAAAAATGAAATTTATTTTAAAGTTTTAAAATGATAAAGTGTTAAATATATCGCCAAACTTTACGAATTATATCATTCACATCTTAAGTTCTAATTAAGAAATAGGTGAATAAGTAATAATAATTTTAATCTGAATAAATTTGAATAGTTTTATTAATGTTTATATTCGATTTCTCGTGATGAATTGCATTGGAGCACGACTTAAAGCCAAAGCATAATGGATATATTTAGAAGATTGTGAAGAATAGGAAACGTTTATCAATTGAAAGAGCTACTCAGCTCGAATAATAAAATATTTTAATACTTCTGTTTTACATGATATCATTTAAAAGAATGTAGAAATACATCGTCGCCTTACAAATCTGACAATTATACTTACAATTACAGAATGACGTGACTAACGCAATCGTGAGAGTGAGTTGTCATTCATCATCTTGGTCACACAACACTATCAAGCCTTGAATATTGTTGAAATGAATTTTACATAAATATCATCAAATAAGATTTTTTTAATGAGTTTAAAAAGAAAGTATCTCGCACTCTCTTTTACACTAGAATGAAAAATGATCTGAAAATTGACGTAAATTTTTTTTTTCCTCTGTAAAAAAGTTTGTAAAGTTTGATGATGATAGACTACCATTGAAATATCGTCAATCAATTGTTATGATCTTAAATGACAACTTAAATAAAAATATGTATGATATATAAGTAATTAATTATTAATTTTTGCCTAAAGAGGGGGAAAATTTCCATGGAGATCGATAGTGTTGAAGTTTAATTTAGTTAAACATGAAAAAAACAATCGTATATTCCCCTATCCTTGAGAAAAATCAGTTTAAATTATTGACTTTCTATTCTTAAGTGTAATATCTTATAGGAAAAGCTGCATCAAAAATAGCCTATTTTCGTTTTATAAGAAATTTCTTCGATTGTATAGAAATTCCTTTCTATACACTTGAAGGGAGTATATTCAAGTTCCTTCCTCGTTCAAACGAATATAATAAATGTATATATTACAGCTAGAATTTTACTTTCCAAAATAATTTAATAACATTTTAATTCTTATAATTGCCTTAAGAGAATTTCAACTTTGATTTTAAATTTCGAATGTAAATTTAATTTAAAAATAATTATAGAGTTATCAGATCATAAAATTTGACAAGCGAACACATTACTTGATGATTATCTAGTTATATGTACTAACAATTAGATAATAATGGGTGTTTATCTATTCTAACTCAAGCGTTATATCCGGATAACATATCCATGAATCTTCATTTAAATTAATGATTTTAAAGTTAATACAGAAATTTCATTTCTGTCTTATTTTTTCTTAATTAAGTTTATTTTTTTTAGAAAATAGAATCAAGGATAGATTAAGAAAAGAAAAATAATGTCACCTGTTGACATAATTGTGTTTATTACATATTTATATTAACTTTTAATTATTTTTAATGTGATATTAACTAGAAAATATGTTTTTAACCTTATACCAATGATTACACAAGCAAAAAAAACTTAAGAAAATTTGCTGACTTTACAATTAAGCAATTCTTATTTCATCAATAATAACTGGTGTCATCGTGATATTTAATGTTTAAATAGAATTTAGAATTTATAATAAAACCTCGAAGGCTTTAAAAATAATACTATTATTTAACAATAGCAATTTTTATGATTTAAAAGTTTATTTAAAAATAATAAAGGCCTCAACTTTTAAATTTATCATAAAATAGCCTTCTGTATCTTTAAATAAACAGCTGTATTAATAAACTAATATTCTGTGTATAAACTTGATAAACGAAGTTGTAAGTTGGAGTTTAATAGAGTTTATGTAAGCGGGTGAAACGTTTTAATACATTTTTCAAGATTATTTTCATGTGTTCAAATGAAAATGTTATTGTGAATTTAAACTTTAAACCCTAAGGATAGAGAAAAATAATAGAAAAAACGGAATCAACATTGATGTTGCTTTGGCATTTCTCATAATGCAGTCTGCTTTGTACAGGAATTTATTGTATGGATATAAACATGCTCAGAAAATATTAACGAGAGCAATATTATATGAATAAACATTTTAATTTCTGTTAAGGGAATTATTAATAAATTACAATGTATATATTATAAATATTGATCGTAATATATATTACTTATTTATTTAAATACGTGTATAAACAACAGAAACTTTGAATAATTATTTATTATAATAAATAATTAAACGTGCTTTGTTAATTATACATTTACAGACTTATAAACAATTACTATTTACACATAAACACTAACCTACACTACTTACAAATGATTAACTTTAATCACTTATTTCTTTTAATGTATTTAAATATATTCGAATTGTTTAANGTAAGGCTCAAGCTTGAATAATTAACTTTTATTAATATTAATATCAAATTTTGCCTTAAATCTATTTTTAGTTCTCACATTTTATGTAAAGTACTTATAGAAACTGTTTAATTGGGTTGCAATTTGAAAACATTGTACTGTACATCTATAAATTCCAACTGTTTTCTGTCCTTCCTTAATTTCGAGAATGATATTAAATTAAAGTCAAGCCCAGATATGGAAAGCTTGTGGACAGGAGGCCTAGATTAACTATATATAAAAACTTATGGTCTAAAACAGATGTCACATGATTTCAATTTAAAATCTTTTCAAAACAGATGACCGGCATGACTCTGTTGTTATCAGGAAAAGTATTATGTAAAGGGGCTAAACACTACTAATTTAAAA